CTGGAGATTCCTTCTGCATTTCTCAGCGCGGGAGCTCTGGAGCCCGGTCCCAGGCACGGCAGGTGACCTCTGCTTTAACATGAACATCTAGTAAGATATTTCTCGTCTTTTGCAGATGTGAATCTAAAAGTGCCTGTACAGGGATTCAGCAGCTCTGTTCCTTAGGAAATAATCTCTGGTTAGTAACATACCAGGTTAGACTGCTCCTGGAAACTAGCTGATAAAACCACTCCTACCTAGTAAGCTTTTCACATCTGCTTGCTCTGAATGGACTGGGTGCATCTTTCTAGGTGTCTTTCTTGGGTGGGGAAGGGGAGGGGAGGCTTTACAGTCTAAGTAGTTGACTAGAAACCACAATGTAAGAAAACAGGGGTGGCTTAGCAGGTCTTCTTCATAACCTAGGGAACTCATCTCTGGTATCTCGAGTGCATTTTGTTGCAGTAATTACTGCTTCTAACATCAGAATACAGGTAAGATCATCCAGCTTCTGTTTTTCTCCTAGGGACATGATGTCTTCTGGAAATGACTGTAAGCCACAAACATTGACCAAACCTGCATTTAGTGAAAAAGAGGTGACTGAATTGGTTGACAGGGTGTATGGATTAAAGGTGTTTTGGATCCGGCCGCTCCCCAGCTACGATGATCAGAATTTCCACGTGCATGTCTCAGGAAGCAAAGGTGCAGCTGAAAGTGCTGATGAGTATGTCCTCAAAATCACCAATTCAGAGGACAGCCAGAAGCCTGACCTCATTGAAGCACAGACGCAGGCCATGATGTTTCTCAGTGCTGAAGGCTTTCCTTCAGCTACACCTTATCTTACTAAAGATGGTAACATAATGTCTCTGGAGTCAGGAGGTGAGCAGTTGCATTTTCATTGCCATACTATCACCCTTAGTAGCTTGCTATATGGCATACAATATATATGGTAAAGTGAAGTTTCAAGCTTATTTTGAAATGTTAAGGCATATGTTATCAGGTGACCTGTATGACCAGCAATAATAGTCCAAACTTAAAATACCAGAATTGAAGCAAGTGAGTAATAATTAACTATGAAAACACTTTGACTGTAACTTCAACATTTTCTTCAATTCATTATACTGATCTGACCTCTCCATGCACAAGACAAGAAAACCCAAAAATTCATTGACTAAAGGATGTCACGAATTATTTGCCTACAGAATAGTGTAAAGTACACTTCTAACCCATCTGATGCCAGAACACATTGTTGTAACAGCACTTGAAAGAGAAACTGCATTGACATTTTGCTTAAGTTTCTGCTGTAACTTCCACACAAAAGCTGGGATTCATGAAACCTCCTGTTCTATTGCAAAACTGTAAGTGGCTGCCTACTGGCACTGGAGGAAAGCTGCTGTAGGCAGAGTCAGTGCCAAGCACAAGGACTAGAAGTCCAGTACAGAGTGCAAGTGTGTTAAGGTTTGTACATCATTGTACAATATACTGGTAAATCTTTGAAATCTGGGTGTTTTTTTGTTTTCTTAGTGTTTCTGGTTTTGTTTTTAGCTACATCTGACTCCTACACAGCAATAAACCTGTTTCGCCTCTTGCTCTAACTGATACTGAGTAGCATGTACTCAAATGACTGACTGCATCTCGCTTTCCTTGTTAGGTACTGGACCTGGGAACAAAAAGTACATGGTCAGACTGCTGACTTATTTGCCAGGTACACCTTTAGCAAAAATTGCTACAAATACGCAGATTTTCTATCAGATTGGTAAACTAGCTGCCAGTTTGGATAAAGCTTTCTCGGAGGTGAGTTTTCGTTGCTCTAGCCTTGCAGACTTCTTTCTCAATTAATTAATCCTCTGTATTTCTTCTTGTGCTTAGTTTCCTTTTTTGATGGGCAGTGCTGAAGCTGGTGAATGCAAGAATTGGTTCAAGTCATCTTCCAGGTGCCAGCCTCCAAGCTGGCTGGTTACTAAAGCATTTCCCAAAGTAACATGACCAGGTGCTGCTTACACTGCATGGTGTTGGTGATCTTTTTCCAAGGCTTTTTTGTACTATCATCAGGGGATAAGCATTTCTTTTTACTTACACAAAACTCACATGCTAGTTTTTCAGACCTGGTAAACCAAGAGAGTGAACCCTAGGGTGCCCAAATTCAGAAGCATGTAAAGCTTGTTTTTAGTGTTTTTGTATAGTGCTCATCAGGCACAGGTGTCTGATCTATTATTTTAAGTTCATCTTGGCTTGCTTTTCTTCTCCTGCTCATTAGAACTGTGACTATTTAACACTGGTAGCAGTTAGTTCGTTCTCTGCAATGGCTGCTGTGCCAATGAACAGAGGTTTGTGATACTTCTCTCAGTTGTACTGTATCCAGTCAAATAATCTTAATACAAAGTAAGTTCTTTTTTTATTCTGTAATTATATAGAATAATAAAGCTAATGAATCAGCCTAGTTTGATACATCAAAGAACTCTTGCATTATTTATTGCCTTCCACTGACCTTTCCATCTCGTGTTCTGGCTGCTGGCTTCAGACAGTTATGAAATGGGAATTGCCCGCTTTACTAACCACATTCTTAAGTTACAGGAGCATTTTTTAGTTGGGAAAGATAATGTACTGATGCCTTCTAACACTCTGGTCATGCTCTTACAATGCAATAAAAACAATTTATGTAGACCAGCTAGTCTCACAGATATGCCTGTGACTTGTCATGCCAAGGAAATAGTTGATGAGAAAGCAAATTTTTGTGCAAAAGGCTCTCTGTGTTCTCAGTGTATGAATTATGTAGAAAATGACAGTCAGTAGTGTCAAAACTATAAAATATCACTGATGCTAAAGATAATACTTAAGGTATCCAGTTTTCTGAGGACAATTCAGGAGATACAAACTGTCTTTTCTACTCAATTAATCCGCTTTGTCAATTTGACAGCTATCTTTAAAAGCCTTAATTACAAGCATAAGTTTCTTTTTAAAAGCAAGCCAGCTACTCTTGTGGCAATTTTTTTTTTTTTTATTTGCCCTGTGCACTGGTAGATTCTGGCCCACAGGCCACCTTGTGTGCAGCAGAAGAGATGCTTTTCTTCCCTGAATGTCACTTTCCAAACCACCTTTTTCATTTTCTAGTGTGAGAGAGGTTAAAGACCTTGTTCATTTAAAATATTGCTTGGATGTACAAAGGCAGGTTTTCATAATAAGAAAGTTTAGTTCATTATCAACTACTTCTGCCCTCAGGACTTACCATGTATGAGCTGATCTTAAGGCTTGTCCCAGAAGCTGCCACCATTAAATGCACAGAGTGTGGCTGCTCCCAGCACGCTGGCAGGTTCTGTCTCCTACTCCAGCAGCTCTCTGTAGTGCCAGCTCTGCAATCCAGGCTCTGCCCATGTGGGACTCTGGCCTTGGCGAGGCCTCCAAGTCGCTATGTAATGTCAGAAAGACCAAGTACCAGTTTTAGAGAGATGAATGGCTTAAGATAATCTTTATACCTAAAATAATGAGGAAAAAACTGGGTTGTATGGCAATATTAAGACACTTGCCTTAATTGTTTTCCAGGTTATTCTTTTACTTGTTGATATAAAGCAAAAGTCAAAAGTCATGGTGCTTTTCAGTGAGTCTCATTAGGAACTTGTTAAAGTTAACAAGGGCTTCGAGTCAAAGTCTTTCATCATAAAACCAAGATTTTTACTTACTGTATCTTATGCTTTTTCCAAAGAAATTCCATCATCCATCAATACAAAGTCTGCATCGAGGTCAGTTCATTTGGAACCTGGCAAACGTTCCTCTTCTAGATCAGTATATTTATGCTTTGGGCCAGAACAAATATCGTGATCTTGTGGAACAAGTTATTGAGCAGTTTAAAGGCAAAGTAATACCCAAGCTAAGCAGTTTTCGAGCCTGTGAGTATTTTATTCTCATTGTAATTATGTTCATCTGAGACACTGAAACTTCTTGCAGGAGGATATGTCTGGAGTAGGCAAAAAAACCCCAAAAAAGTCAGTCCCCTTTATCCCTAGCTAGACATGTGCAAATGCTGTGATGAGTGACCACAGCACAGAATAAGCCAGCAGGTATGTGCTGTCTCCAGTCAGGTTCAGTTCCTCATCTTTCCAATGAGATTGTTTCCAGTCAAGGTGGTGATTTTCATGCTGTTGTATCAGCTTAAGAATAGATGGAGTACACTATTTCCTGTCATAAATGCCCAAATAACTATTTAATCCTTTTTTTTTTTTTAAATTCAGCTCATATTGGTGTTAACTTGATAATTTGATTACGTGAAAATTACCATTTTGTCTTGGGAAGACATGTAGTATATCCCAGGTAGTACCAGACAAGGATAAGATCTCGTAACACTCCCTTTATCGGTTGCTGTCTGGCCACTTGTTAGTGGAGTGGAGGTTCCCAGGAAGCAACAAGGCTGTGAAAGGCAACACTTGATGTGGGGGGGAGGGGGTGGGGTTTTGCAGCTGAGTGTTAGTTTGAGCATGGATGTGGCTTTTCAAAGCTGTTTTAGTAAGAAATGGGGGGGAAGGGGGAAGCTAGATGCTGCTGCTCAGTAGTTATTGAATACTGCTGCTTTTTCTTCTGTGTTTAGGTATCAATCATGGAGATCTTAATGACCACAACATTCTAGTGGACTGCTCTTCTGCTTCCCTGGAAAATCCTCAGTACCGAGTGTCCGGTATCCTGGATTTTAGTGACATGAGTTACGGGTATTATGTATTTGAAGTTGCGATAGCTATTATGTACATGATGGTTGAGAGCTCAGATCCTCTGAGTGTTGGAGGGCATGTTTTGGCAGGGTTTGAAAGCGTCCTGCCGCTCACAGAGGAGGAGAGAGGTGCCCTCTTTCTCTTGGTGAGCGGGAGGTTTTCTCAGTCCCTTGTCATCGCGGCTCACACAGCGCTGCTCTACCCCGAGAACCGGGAGTACCTCATGATCACAGCCAAAACGGGGTGGAGACACTTGATGAAAATGTTCGAGGCGGGCCAAGAAGCGGTAGAGAGGACCTGGTTTGAGAC